ACCCCTCCAGGGATCCCGGGGACTCCCCCCTGCCCTGGGCAGCCCATTCCAACGCCCAACAGCCCCTTCTGCACAGAAATCCTTCCTCAGAGCCAGCCTGATCCTGCCCTGGGCAGCTTGAGGCCATTCCCTCGGGGCCTGGCGCTGGGGCCTTGGCTCCAGAGACTCATCCCCCCTCTCTGCCCCCTCCTGGCAGGGAGTTGCCGAGGGCCAGGAGGTCTCCCCTCAGCCTCCTCTTCTCCAGACTGAACCCCCCCAGTTCCCCCAGCCGCTCCCCAGCAGACCTGTGCTCCAGACCCTGCCCCAGCTCCGTTGCCCTTCTCTGGCCACGCTCGAGTCATTCAATGGCCTTTTTGGGGTGAGGGGGGGCCAGTCTATCAACTGCTAGAATACTTTTTTTGTTTTTCCTGTGGGGCTCAGCAGCATTTGAAGACTTCCATGAATTTACCCCCTGGAAATCCCCAGCAGAATGTTTTTATTTGAAATAGTGCCTGGAGGTCCCAAGCAGGCTGTGGAACCCCGCCTTGCTTTACCAAGCCCAACGGGCTGACCAGGGAAAGGGTGCTCAGCACAAGTGAAACAGGCATCAACCGGTTGTTTTACCTCTGACAGCGCTCACAAAATCAGGAAGCAACAGATTAGCTGCAAAGTGCCATTCAGTGATGCGGGGAGGAAGGTTAGAGAACCTCCACTGGCTTTCGGAGATGCCCAGAGCACTTTCTGAGAAGCCAGTGTTCCCAGCACCCCAGGAGACACCTGCTCAGCGTCGCTGGCAGCCTCGTGCATTGGTGAAAAGACCAACCCCCAAAAACACACTCAAACTGCCCTGAGCCAACCAGATGAACCTCCCACACAGCTCAAACAGCATCACGGTGCTTCCAACCGTGGACCATGAGACTGGATCCATTTGGAGGGTGCGTGTTCAACAGCAGCACCAGCCTAACCCCCCACCCAAAGCCCGAGGCTCTGTTGCCTCCTCTGACAGAGCACAGTGGTTTGTTCTAAACTCCTGCCTTGCTGGGCTTAGTCTTCTCCATTTCTTGGTACAGCTCTTCCCCTACACTTGTGTCTGTATTTCTGCCCCCCCTTACACACCCCCAGATCCTTCTGGATCTTAAATCCAGAAAGAGAAAGGTCACTGCTCATTGACCCTCTGTCCTTGCAGCAGGCAGCAGAGGTGTGAGAGTCCTGCCCAGGCTCTGCTCCCTCTCGGATGTCCCCAGCCTCCTGGCAGCTGTGGAGCAGCACTGCCAGCTCCTCAGACAGCCCCTGCGCCTCGCAGCCTTCCGAGGCCGCTCCAAAGGACACCCGAGGGGTCACTTCTCCCCCCCTTCTAACCTCCATTTTTACCTCTCATGGCAGTAGCTAATGCCAGTGTACTCACAGCCATGTTCCAGCCTCCTCTCAGTGCACAAACCTGCCCTTTTGTGTATAATCCCAGCCTGGTTTTGTGCTGCGTTCCCTCACCTTTACCACGATGACAACCTTGCCCTGTTTGAGGCCAACAGCGACAGCGGAAGCAGCCGTGTCCTGGGATGTTTTGTCTGTGGTGATGATTTCCAGCAGCTGCATTCTGTCAACAGGGGAGAAGTAGTGCATCCCGATCACCTAGGCAGAAGGAAAAGCTCAGGGTTAAGCCAGACTTTGGCTCTGCAGGTACCATCCGAGCTGGCAGAGCAGCCCCAGCAGTGCTTCTCCTGGACTTTGAGAGTGGCACAGCAGCCACAGGGACAGACACTGAGCACAGACCCCATGTTCTGCTTGTGAATATTTTGGTTTGGGGTTGTTATTTCTGTGTTTTTTGGGTTTTTTTTTGTGATGAAGGGAATCTAAGGACAAGGCAGCATGTTTCCAGAAGCTCATCAGAGAGGTTAAGTGCAGCCTTCCTCTGGGAACAGCATCTAAGGGGAGATGATCTGGCTGCGTGCCTCACTATCTGAACACAATCATGTAATCACCATGTCACCTTCCCGCCTGCTGGAAGCTACACTTGGCACTGAGATCTGTGCAAGTTAGAGGCATCCTGCAGGAGAGTTGCAGACTGCAAAACTAATCATAGAAAATACACTAATTAGTTAACCCATTTCCTATTAGTTTGCCGGTAAAGAGTCGTAACACCGGCAATTTAGGCAGCAAGAGGGTGTTATTTGCAAGTCTGAACAAACACTCAGTTTGCATTTCAGATGCAACTCAGCATCTGACAGCAAACCAGGAAGAGGCTCATGGAGGTCACAGGAACCTCCAACAGCCGGGACACGCATCGTTACTCTGTGGACTTGAGAATAATTCACTTGGAAGGGTCCTACAATGATCATTTAGCCCAACTCTGCAGATGACCCCAGAACTTCTGCAGGAAGACAAGCAGCAGAGGCAATGCTCTGCCCTGGGCAGGCTTGAGACCCTTGTAGGAGTTTAGGGAACCAGCTGAAGGTGCCTTTGCTTCTGCATTTGTGTAACAGTTTCCAACTGAGCCTTAGAGCTTCCCCCTCCCTCTGCCCGAGCTGTTCCTGCCTTCCCATCCCACCTGTCCGGGAGAGGGAGACGGGATTATCTCCCAGAGGAACTGCTCGCTCCTCCCTGCATTTTCTGCAGCCCCGAGTAGGCCAAGCCGAGTCCTCAAACGAGGGGGAAGTGTTTCCCCCTTTTTCTGCCAAGGCCGCCCTAGGGTGAGGCTTAGCCCCGGGGAAGTGGCTCTGCCTGCTCACGCAGCCCCTCGCACCACTTCAGGCGGTCTGGCCTCCCGCTGCCGCTCCCCGAAGGCCGCTGGTCTCCGGCAGGGCCCGTGCCAGCCCTGCCAGCCTCGAGGGATGGAAGAGGCCTCTGCTCCAAACCTCTGCCACAACCCACACTGCACTCCGTGTCCTGTTCACAAGGATCGTTTGGAGCCAGAGGGAAAACCCCGTCACCCCCTCAGGAGCCGATCCCTGACCAAGACTTCACGTTTCAGCACCAGCGAGTTCAGCTTCCAGCCCCCAACTTTTCTCCCCTTTTTGCTGTGAGGTCAGTGCCTTCTCTCCGAGAAGACATTTTCCCACTGTGGCAAGTCACTCCTATGCCCCTAATCTGTTTATCAAAATGACTGAAGTCTTCCTGGCTGGAATTCTCTCTACTTGAGTCCTTCCACAGCTTCTCTGCCTGCAAGTGCACCAACGTTTCCCCAGGTGCACTCTCCCCCCTCCACGTCTCTCCAGCGTCACGCTGGGGGTGAGGCCACCTTCAGCCCCTTCCTGCATGTCCCAGCCCCACAAGCTCTTTGTTCCAAGCCCACAGTGGGGGCAGAGAACGAGCGGTTTTGCGTTCTGAGGAGGAAGCAGAAGATCCCAGCGCTCACCTACGGCCAGGTTTTGCCACTAACAAGCAGCTCAGCGCAGAGCAGAACCCTAACAGGCACGTGGCACTGGGCACTCACCTTCTCTGGCCTCTTGCTAACGGCAGCGATCTGGCTGATGGGGAGGGCAGATGTGTTACTGGCGAAGACACAGTGAGCAGGGATCACCTGTGGCAGAGGGCAGAAGAGACACTGTAAACGCAGTGGCTCCAGAGTCAGACCCACAGCGTGATGTGTAGAGCCCTGAGAGAACAGGACCAGCACCTGGCAGCACTGACAAAACAAACCCTTCTCTGTCCGGACAGACATGTTAGAAACTAATTCTGAAGCAGCAGCCCAAGTCAGACAGATGTGACTTGCCCTGAGCTCTCCCCAGGTCTGCAACATTAGCCTCAGAGCCCCCGTGTTGCTGCCAGGCCACTGCAACCACGTTAGACACCACGGGAGGGACTTTGTAAAGCTGCACAGAGCAGCTCCTTTACTATTTCTATTTCCTCAAGGATGCTCTTGAACAGAAAAGGGCAGTGGCAGCGAGCTGGACATAAAGGACTAAGTTGCGGAGACGCCAAAGGACGTTACTGTCGTATCAATGCACTCAGAGAAACGACAGGTTTTTTGGAGCGGTTCCCAGGAGTCGGGGAGTATCAGAACCGCCCCATTCAGCTAAGAAGTACTGACTCCTTACTGAGAAGTGAATATCCTCAGTGAGCAGAAGGCTGCCCTTCACGTGCCGACGGATATAACTTGCACCAAGCACCAAATTGCAGCACAAAGGGGATGTGACAAACCCAGCGGGGCAGGACACCCTCAGCCTGCACCGCACCGGGGCCACATCTAGCACGGCTGCTCTGAAGGGATACTCACAGCTTCCACTTCCTTCAGCACTCTGTGCTTGATGTTAATGTCCTCGAACACAGCCTCGATCACCATGTCTGCCTTCTCAAAGCCCTTGTAGTCCAGCTGGCCCGTGAGGTTGCTGAGAATGGAGTCCCTCTCAAACGACGTCAGACTCTTCTTCTTCACCTTGCTGTTCAGCCTAGGGAAGGACAGCTCTGTCACGGCGCCCGGGCCGGCCTGCCCAGGCTGCTGAGGTGCACCCCGACACCAAGGGCATCACTCCCTGCCTCCTTCCCAGAGCAGGGACCCAAGGAATCTCCAATCCCAGCCCCTCCTTCCACCTGGGAAAAGGAGAGCCATGCTCACATGACTCAGCTGCTGCGTTAGGCTGAAGGGCAGTCGCTGACGTTCCTGGCGATGCATGGCTGAGCTCTGTTCCTACTGAGCCAGGAGGACAGGGGAAAGCCATTTTCAGAAGTCTGACCTGATGCCTGCCTTGACGTGGCCTTTAGGCAGCCAGGATTACTCCCTGCCCCTTAGCTCTATAAGCTACTGCTAAATCTAAAAGCTAAACCAATCATCTGTTAGGTCACCGACCTACCTAAGGAGCTAAGGCTGAACACACTGGGCCTATTTCGTAGCAATATCCCCACACACTGCACAGGGCAGCCTCAAAAGAGGTTGTCACATCAGATGGTAGAAGACCCCAAAGGAACAGAGGTGTCAGGGGTTCCTGACTGCTTGAAAGCAGAGCAGTGTTTTGACTAAAGGCAGCCCCATCCCATCCCGAGCGAACTCCTTTTGGCTGACATACCCCTTGAAGACCTGCTGCTGGCCTCTGTCCAAGCCTTGCTGCGCCGTGTCCTTCAGAATGGTCTTGAGTCCCTTGTCCACGGAAACCTGGGCGATCCCAGCTCCCATGAGCCCCGCTCCCAGCACGGCCAGAGTCCTGCACAGAAAAGGGCGTATTTCAGAGCTGGAAATAGCTTCATTTCCATTGCTGCTGTCAGACTCACACAGCTCCTGTTCACCCAGGCACTATTCTTGATGAGAAACAGCAATTTGGAGTTCTTTGGCAAGATTTCACTTATGGGTGAGACCTCCAGGACTGCAAAGGATGAGCCTTCTGGAGCCTGGAAATCTCTCTGCTCTGCTCCACTGTTTTCTGGGACTCAGCCACTCGGGCCCAAGAGTTTTTTAGGAGAGGGTCTCCAACTGCTCCTTCAGACATCCCACTTACTTGACCTCTCGCTGCGGTGTTCCAAACTTGTTCTTCTTGCAGTACACCTGCCCGCGGTAAAGTCCAAGCAGCGCCTTGGACTCCTTCGTCACTGCGAGCTGGCCGAAGTTCTGGAAGAAAGGGAAGAGGGAAGCTGAGAGTTTTGCATTTAGCAGCTGTCTCACCTCCAGCACACACATATCAAAGCCCACAGCCCCCCATGTCGCTGCACAGAGCAGTAACCTGGTTAGAAAAGGAAGAACAGACAGGGCATGTGTACCCCTTGCCTGGAGGCACCTCCTGTGCTAAGCACAGCCCGCTCTGCACTGCTGCCTCCCATACAGGCTGCCAGAAAGCACTAGGAAACTGCTTATTCCATGTTCTTTCCCCAAACAATGTAATTTAAAGCATCTGAAAGGGGCTTTACAGCAGGGCTGTATTTCACTGACATGGGACCCTTTTTCCCCTGCGTGCACCCTGCACTAGCTGGTGCCATTGCCCCAGGGGCTTAAGAATTTAAGAAAAATCTTTAAACAGGCTAATTCTCACTGACAGCAGTAGCCTAATGCTATTTTCGGAGGACAGCCAACAAAATCTAAGGCCCGCATAACCTCCCAGCACTCAGCATGAAACAGGAAAGTAGTCAGGAAGACAAAAGACAGCATAAGGTGACTGAAAACTGATGTCTGAGCCAAGGCAGCCAGGGAAAGCCACCAATGCAATGTAGTTTAGAGCAGGCTGGATCTTCCTTCACCACTGTCCCGTGAGTTAGAGGCTCGTTAAAATATCAGAAACACAAAGCCTGGAAGAGAATCTGCAAGTCTCCTACCCTAGGGGAAAGAGGGAGGCATTAAACATGACACTGACACTGATTATTCTTTAGAGGGTTCTGGGAAGATCTCCATCCTGCTTCTATTCTCAGGGAAAAAAACAACATTCATTCTTTTCTGTAAGGAACAGAGTATCCCAAGCCTTTTATTCAGCACCAGACCAAACGTGGGTGGAATGCATAAGCAGAACGGAGGGGGTATACCCAGGAGGTCACTGTGGAGGTAGCAGGCAGAGAGCTACATCTCAGACCAGGAGCTCGTCACCAGAGTGAACAAAAGGAGCTACTAAGCACGGCCGGAAAGATTGTGGGACGTGACAGAGCAGTGTGAGGAGCTGGGGAAAGTCAGAGCAAGTACAGCAGGGGACGGCTGGATTTCACCGGCGGTTAAGGGGCGGCGATGTGCGAGATGACCCACAAGCAGAGATAATCAGACGGGAGTGCTGCGGGGCTTCTGGGGAGCCCTGCAGAGCTAGCAGGGCCCAGGCAACCACAGCAGGGACGCTGCGCGCAGAACTACCTCTTCAGTATCAGAAATAACAAGTCTGAGTGCAGATGTAGCAAAACTGTGATCAGTGAAGAAAAACTCGTTAGGGGCAGGTTGTTTATTAAGGCAGAGTCAAGATGGCTGAGGCTGAATGAGCACAGCAAGACAAAGACTCTGTGTGTGGGGAAGAAGCGTCATGCTGCTGGCGAGGACGCCTGCCTGCTCACGCCCTGGGCCTGCCCGCCACTGCCCGTCCTGCCTCCATTTTAAACTCTGTTCCTATTTCCCTCGAGTGTGTCACTAGCAAACCTCAAGCAGGACTGGGTGGCAGTTAGGACGTGAGATCCATGTGTCAGGAGCTGGTCAGACTGGGCCCCGTGGCCAACGAATGACAGATGAAACACCTACAGCCAGTGACTAAAGGGTGCGTGCGGGCACGCGTGTGCACACGGTCACTTATTGCTGCACGTGAACTTCAACCCTGGTCAGCCAACAGCAGGAACAGCATCAATCACCAGTTTGTGTTCCTGTGGGTGTCACCAGGAAAGGCACCGCGCTGGCTGCGCAGCCAGCTGTGCGTGTACTCTGTGAATACGTGTTGTGTGTCCCACACCTCTGCGGTATCTGCTCAGCCTACCTGGACCTGCGAAGGGAAAAGCAGCGAGAAGAACGAGAGCTGAAGTCTCCCACGTCTTAAAATGCAAGGCTTGACTACCCTTAACAGTCGGTGTTGGCGCTAAACTCAACTGATGTGTCAGGAAACTAAAGAACTGAAGGGAAAGGAAGAATGAAAGAGGCTGGTTTCACAGAACCACCCAGCAGCTGAGGTTGGAAGAGACCTGTGGAAATTGTCTTCAGCTTTGGGCCCCTCACCCCAAAAAGGCCGTTGAATGACTCGAGCGTGGCCAGAGAAGGGCAACGGAGCTGGGGCAGGGTCTGGAGCACAGGTCTGCTGGGGAGCGGCTGGGGGAACTGGGGGGGTTCAGTCTGGAGCAGAGGAGGCTGAGGGGAGACCTCCTGGCCCTCGGCAACTCCCTGCCAGGAGGGGGCAGAGAGGGGGGATGAGTCTCTGGAGCCAAGGCCCCAGCGCCAGGCCCCGAGGGAATGGCCTCAAGCTGCCCAGGGCAGGGTCAGGCTGGCTCTGAGGAAGGATTTCTGTGCAGAAGGGGCTGTTGGGCGTTGGAATGGGCTGCCCAGGGCAGGGGGGAGTCCCCGGGATCCCTGGAGGGGTTGAAGAGTCGGGCTGAGCCAGCGCTGAGGGATCTGGGGGAGTTGGGAACGGTCAGGGGGAGGGTCATGGTGGGGCTGGAGGAGCTGCAAGGGCTTTTCCAACCCGGATCATCCTGGGATTCTTTACCACTTCCCACCAGGTATTTGCACACCTTGGTAAGATCTCCCCAAGCCCTTCTCCTCTCCAGGCCCAGGTCTCCAGCCTCTCCCACCATGTCACACACTCCAGGCCTTTCATCAGTCTCGTGGCCCTCCGCAGGGCAAACTCCAGCCAGCTGGCCACAGCCTGGACCAGTGCACGGGGTTATTCCTCCCCAGGGGCAGCCCCTGGCACTCTCCTTTGCTGAACCTCTGGGGGTTCCTGTCTGCCCAGTTCTCCAGTATGTTGGGGTACCCCTGAGTGGCCAGTAGTAGCCAGTACGCTGACTGGAGTGGCTACTAAATAGGCAAGTTCAACTAAGGGATAAGGAGAGAAAAGTCCTGTTCTGGGTGAGAAACTACTGAAAAACATCCACCAGATGTTCAAAAGAACCCAAATTATCAATGGGTGAAAAAGGACCAATGCAAAGTACCTGGACTAGAAAAAGGGACAAACAGCAAAACAAGAGTAAACTGAGAATCAACACCCTGAACAAAGATATTGGTGACAGAGTAAACAGAACAAAGGTAAAAATGAAAGTTAATTCTTTGAAGAAATGATTTATTTGCACCAAATTGCCTGGAAACACTGATGAGACTGACAGCACTATACCCACACCTCGAGGTTCTCTGTCCCATGTGACAATCAGAAAAAACAAACAGCGTTCAGACAGAGAAATCAAAGTCCTGTTACGTGAAACCTGGATCAGTGAACTCAGTCTGGTTATTTCCCACTCAAAAAAGATAACACAGACGGGAAGGAGAAAAGGCACAAACTGTTTTCACAGGTGAAGAACCTCGACACAGTTCTGTTGTTTAAGGGAGACCTTTTTCACGGCCCCGCTGCCAGAAGGGGCAGGGAGCAGACACCGTTCTGAGCAGCCTGTGGCAAATGCTATCCTCTGTGCGTGGTCAAACACAAACCCTCCCCCACCTTTTACAGAATTTACTGCTCCCTACCGGGGATCTAATCTCCTTACCTGAGATTCAGCGAGGTATCCAGCGTCACGCCCCTGATCAAGACCAGCCTTTACAGTCTAGTCAAAGAAGAATAAAGATAACGTCGCTGTTACGTCGCGTCTGCCGAGAGACTCCTGGTTCAGCTGCACCTCCTGTTTTCACCAGTGAGCCCTCCCCATCATTCAAGGCACACTTCAGGCTCTCTGCTCAGAGCAGAGCTACCCATCACCCTGTCCTCCTAGCACAGAACAGCTACGATGGCAGGGAGTTCACCACCAGGTTGATTTTTACACATACCCTGCTGTTTCAGGAATTGTTTTTGGTAGGACCGTGCTCTTGTAATGCCACTGCTCTCAGAGTCAGAGGGGGGCATTCACAGGTTTTACAGAAGTCTTGGCAACAACTTTGTGAAAAATCATTTTAAAATAAGGATTCAACCACAGACAGTGGCTGTAAGTAATAGAATGCCTGTGCAACTCAGGGGACTAACCCTAAGTATTGCGTGGTTAGTGCTCCAAACCCAGCAATTTATATTTTCCTGGCTTCAAACACATTCACCCAACTCTAAAAACTATACAGGAAACCTGGAAAAACTGCAGCTGAAAGCTTCATGGGCAAAGCACTGCAGCTAAGCCTTTCCTTGGCTGGCATTCTTGCTCTCCCCCTTACTGGTACCAGTACCATATAAACTGGTGATGGTATTCTGGGAGTTATTCTGAATGTTACTGGGCTTGCTCGACACACCAGAGCCAGCACTCATCGGGACTGATCTCCTGGGAAGATCAGACTGTATGGTTGGGCTCAGAGCAAGGAACCACCTTCCCTCTGTCTGCTGCTGTGGTATCCCACAGATCCAGGGCAGTTTTGGGGGAGTTACCTCAATGATCTTTAGCGGAGCAGGGTAGAGACCTTTGGTTTGCTTCTGAACTTTGTTCTCCACCGTCTTGTAGACTTGCTGCCTCACAAACGGAACAGCCATAGCGTAGTCTGTCAGCTCTGCAAGATGGGACAAAACAGGTCTCAGCGCAGCGTGACAGGCACCGTCAGCCTTTCAGTGATTAACCTGAAAGTTAACGACCGGGCGTCGCGTATCCGCAATAGAAACGTGCACCTGAAGCGCAGCCGCAGGTGGCACGGTCTGCTCCGAAGGGTTTCTTTGGCTCCTTCCACAGAAAAATATCATTTAGGGTTAAAGGACCCTCCTAACGCAACGGGTGACACGCTGAGCTCTGGGGAGCAGAACTCGCACAGAGATGTTGTTGTTTCTGGGCTCTAAGGGCTCCGTGGAAGAGGATGAGCGCAGAGCACACCCACGTGCCTCCTCCCGCTTGACTACATGAGCTTGGTACAGAATTTGCTACTAAGACTGGGGACGTGCAGTCCTCTGGAGGTAGGAGCTGCTCTGGCCCCAAGGCCTGGCTCCCTTCTAGTACACTCCAGCAGCCACCTCCTGCAGCTCTGGCAACGCCACCTGAACAGCAGATCCGCAGAGAAACGTTTTCTCTACCAACCCACCCGGTTCAAGAGGGAATTACAGCGTGAAGTAACTTTGCTTTGGAAATGGAATTAAGTAGGAGCATGAACACACCCCTGAGAAGCAGAGCGGGATAACACTCCCTACAGTCCTTGGGGATTTGACCACGCTGCCCACACTTACTCTGCATTAGCCCTTTCGATCTTTTGGCAGACACAGTCTTGTTGGCTAGTCCCCTGGCAAAGTTAATGGCCACCTCCTCCAAGTACTCAATTGTCCGTGCTTCTGGACTCTTCACACCTGGCCCTGTGAATAAAAAAAATGTGTTGAAAGGCAGCAGAAATTATCACTTGGGGATAGCAATGTGGAGGAGGAGCAAGGATGAGACAGCAACTTGATGTTCCTCTGAGTTGCTACCACTTTATTCCCCCCACCCAGTTTGACTTTTCTTGATTATGAACAATGATGGAACGGCTTGACGGGCAACTACATGAAAGCCCCCAGGCATTCAATAGCCACAGCATTACACAGAAATGCCAAAAAGCCAGCTCACAACGTCTGCAGACAGCAGTATGCCACAAATATCAATGCTACCTTCAGAGCCATGGAAGAGCTTTGGTTGGAAGGGCACATGGGAGGCCATCTGGTCTGACCCGCTGCTCAAAGCAGGGCCGAGTTCAAAGTTAAATCCAGCTCTGGAATTAGACTGAGTTGCTCAGGGACACAGAACGGCCACAGAATGGGCTGGGTGGGATGGGATCTTAAAGATCATTTAGTTCCACCCCCCTGCCCCGGGCAGGGCCACCTTCCCCCAGCCCAGGTTGCCCAAAGCCCCGTCCAACCTGGCCTTGAGCCCTTCCAGGGAGGGGGCAGCCACAGCTTCTCTGGGCAGCCTGTGCCAGGGCCTCACCCCCCTCACAGGGAACAATTTCTGCCTCAGATCTCATCTAAATCTCCCCTCTGTCAGTTTAAAACTGTTAGCCCACGTCCTATCCCCTCGATAAAGTCCCTCCCCAGCTTTCCTGTATCCCCTCTAAGTACTGGAAGAACTTAAGTACTTTAAGGCCGCTCTAAAGTCTCCTTTATAAAGCACGTTCTGCCAGTCTCTGAACACCTCCAAGGACAGAGGCTCCCATCACCTCTCTGGACCCCCTGTCCCAGTGCCTGACCATCTCATTTCAAGTTGTGCCTTTTTATCCTTCAACCTTTTACTTTGCATAACTGAAAAAAAAAAATAAAAAAA